CTTAGTGGCCGGCCCGGGTCGCCCCGGCGGCCCTCGCACCGCCCCGTCCCGTCCCGTCCCTCCTCCTCCAGCTCCTCTCCCCCGCAGCAAGGCCAGGGCAGGCTCTCGGGTTACAGGCAGATTTTCTTTAATGCCAACGAACAGCCATGAAGCAACCGACAAACGGGTGGCGAAAGCGGGCGCCGCGAAGCGAAAGGAGCCGTCCCTGCCGGGGCAGGAGGGACGGCCCCGCCGGGGAGCGGGGCACAGCCATCCCTGCCGAGCGACCGGCGCGGGTCTCGGCTGCTTTCGGGTTTGTTTCTTTATTTTTCGTAAGAAAAAGAGAAAAAAAAAAAAGGAAGAAAGAAAGAAAGAAATCCAGAGATCCGCTCCTGTGCTCGTTCAACAAGGACCGGCGGCAATGGGGACTCGCTAGTGACTCCCTACAGGTACAAGAAGAGTGTCTGCTCCGGTGGCAGGCGCTGGACTCGTCTTCCTAAGCGATGACACAGCCTCCCTTCTCCTTGAAGGGGTTCTTTTCTTCGGGAATCCCCTTCACCAGCGGGTCCTCACCCGACCTCTCCTCAATGTAGTTTTTGATCTCTTCGGAGCACTTGGACACCTGGAGGAAAAGAACAGAGAGCAGCTGCATTAGGGCCAGGGCTCACCTTGCGCACCGGAACAGCAAACCAGGGAATTCACATCCTCCTTTCCCTTACTTAGCTTCCCCTCAAATGTAAAAGATCTGACCACAGAGCCAGCACTAAGCGTGGGCAGACTCATCTTCCTTCTACTTTTTCACAGCCCGATATTCACAGAACAGGTGAGTATCCCTGAGAAGGTATATGCCACTTGGAACAGCAGTTGCTGCCTAGTTAAACTTGCGTTTTTTTCTAATTAGCCAATATAGTCTAACTAAGCTGTGGATCACACTCTCCCTCGGCATCAGCATGACTTATGGTCAGTGGGTTCAGGATCAGTAACTTTCAATTCAATTTTGATGTATTTATGACTTCACGTGTTTTTCCCAAACAAAACACTCAGTAATGATTTTTCAGTGATACTACAAATTCTCACCTTGCGGTTCTAGAATAGCAACCATGGGTCTTGAATGGGAGTAAAGACCTGACTAGGAAAGACAATGTACTTACAGGTTACCTGGGGTTATTTCAAACAACAGTTAATAAAACAGCCAGTTGTGTTATGAGAGAGCATAAGATACATGACACTTTGCATGACATTTACAGCAAACTAAGCACTGATGTAGGTATGCCTGCATTGAACCTGCCTGTAGAGAAGAAATGCATTTAGTTTGTCTTCACTGAGACACAACCACAGGCAGCACATGCTGTAACAGCACCTGTGGAACCTGAGGCTGCACAAGCAAATCCCACCAGCTCCAGAGGATCCTTGTCCATGCACATCTCTCGTTTTTCTTCCCCATGTCAGCAGAAACCATCCTTAGGTGCTCAAATACCTGACATGTCTGAGGACACGCTCTGGGCTCTATCCCCAACTCCTCCCTTCCTACCCACAACCCCCGCGAAGGCCCAGCAGTGCAGAGTCAGCAGCAGGAACCAGCTGCAGGCCAGGCCACGAGATGACTAGTATTTCTAATTTAAGGTCTTCTTTGTTAATTATATTTTACTCCATAGTTAAAATTATGACAAGAGAACCAATGAATTTACCTGCAGTATCACAGACCAACAGAGCATGGGCTGTGCAAAATTAAGCTTTAAGCCACCAGAAAGAACTCGGAGTTAATGCCCAATTAAACAATGCATAAAATAAGGTCTAACTATTTCTAGCTGCCTTACAGCAAAGAATAATTCAGACCTACAAATCCCTTGCTCTCCTGTGCCTCACAAACCCTATTCATTCAAATTGGGACCTTGTGCCATAGTAAGGTTGTGCTCCAAAGTATATGCAGGACCAGGGTTTGTTTCACTTCAGTCAGCGCTATCAGTATCTTTTTCACATACAAGAAAAAAATGTCTGCTTAAATACACATTCAGACATTTTTATTCATTCAAAAAATATTCAAAAGGATATTCCCTCTTTGTGCTGTAAAGGTATAGGAAGGGGTCAAGAAAACTTTGTCTAAATGTTTTTACTTTAGGTGACAACAGAGGTGTGGCTTCTGCATTTCCCTGTAACACCCATATGGTTACCAGGGGACTGTGACAACTACAACACATTTCATTCTCACAGTGAAATTTCTGTTATAATGCACTGCTAAAACTATGTTGTCTGCACTTTACTACAGGTGATTTAAAAATATCCATTTGCCTAAAGGCTTATGGCTTATTCCAAAAATTTAGGAAATAATTTAAAGTTGTTATTATTAAAATGAAAACCTGTACATCCTACAGAGTATATTTCAGTTGCTCGGGAACTCTCTGAGAGATGATACAGATAAGTCTAGTAGTCGGGTGTGGAGCCCTCAATAGTGCTGGGAGCTTTAGACTATACCATAACGTCTACAATCACCGATACCTAACTGACAGCTAAAACGTAACTGTGGCTTTTTTAATTTCTAGCTAAACACCTAGATCTGTAATGCAATTAGAGTGACTAATGCCACTGATTCCGATATACAAATGTATTTTTAGTCCTAACTAGAAGCGTTTACTTAGATGTAGTTTGCTTCTGCTGTCATGCAGAATATAAAAGAAAAGAAAAATACTATTAGTTTTGTCGTGGAGCAAGATCAGTTCTGCATGTCATTCATCTACAGAAAATGTGCAAAAATACAAAGAGCTCACAGGACTCTACTTCACCTGTGGGAAGGAGCAATCGGTGTAAATGACTGAAATTGCGACGTTCCCATCGGACGAGGCAGGGTGGTGGGTCGTGGCTCTGCACCCGCAGCCCTTCGGCCCCCGCCCTGCCCGGGC